GCCGTATGCTATACTCCCCTCGAGGGGAGATATCCCCTTCTAAACCTCCACTCCCTGCCGTTATCCCTACTGATAGCCGTCGTTTCTCTCGCTCTCGCCATATGCTCTCCTCTCCCCCAGCGAATGTCGTTGGGGGAGATTTCGCGAGAGTGGGGGAGCAAGGATGCAGAGAGGCAGAAGCAGAGAGACGAGGGGCATCGTTAGAGAGAACGGCAGAGAGCGGAGATTTACTGGGGATATCTCCCCTTCGAGGGGAAGTGTAGCATACGGCCCCAGGGTGCGTCTGGTAACCCTCACCATTTGCAGCTCCACCATCGCCGCATATCCGCCTGATTTCATTCGTATTCACGAAATTTGCATGCTTATAATCGAGGATCTTTGAAAGTGTTGCAGGGTAATGCCTGAACCTCGCCCCAAATGTCTGAAGAAAGTGCTACATGCTGGTCGTGGAACAGTGCCGGAGTATCGAGACGGTACCAAGGCGATATTCCACTATGAGACGTTGAAACCGATAGACCCCGTGGATCCAGAAGCCGGGATGCCGGAAAGCAGGTATTTTATATTTAATGTTTAACTAATGAGTTCAAGGTTGAGTCTCAGCCAATGATCATCCTAGTAATGTCCTATTTTCTGTCGTATAAGCCCCACCCGCGTATAACTCGTACTTTCGCTTCTCCTGCGCGCCCAAACTAGGCTTTTTTCTCCTTTTACTATTATGTGTTTTCTGTCTTTTCACACATGTGAAATAAGTATTTGTAAAACAATTGTTAGGTTAGAATATGCAAAAAAGACAAAAACACCTGCTACTGTGCCTGGAAGCTTTTCGGGCGCATTGTGGTGTGCGTCTCGGTGACCTACTAACTAAACTCTTGTTCGTTTCAGAGGAAGGGGCGTATCACAGCTGACGGTTTGATGTCGCGCAAAACCGAGTTTCCCAGTAACAATTCGTTTGTGAACTAGAATGTTTGTCACTGGACAGTTTGGTCTTGTCGCCTAGTCGAGCTTTTAAAAGGGGAAAAAGAGGGAATAGAGAAAAGGAGGGATGTGAATAAAAGGAGGCAAGAGGAGACAGGCATAATTGAGTACTGGATTTAGCTGACTGATTTGTCAGCGTGCGAGATAAGTCTAGTTTGACGACTGCCACCTGTGTGACATGTCTTTATAAGCTTCTCATTTTTCTATCGCGCTTTGGTGAAGTTGCAGTTGCTTGAAGTTTTTTTCATTTTCCATTTTTTTTAAACTTTTTTTCGGTTCGTTTTATTTTGTGTCCTTCATTTTCATCGAATATTTATGCTAAGAGATGACTACGAAGTTATTGACAATACAAGACGACCATGGCCAGATGGATATGGCAAGCCGCTGGAGCTGATATTTGGCAAGAAATTTCAATTACCGGTGTTTGAGACATGTTTACGGTCGATGTTAGTCGATGAGGTTAGTCGATGGTTTTACCTTCATGCACCTTTATACAGTCTGATGGAGCTAATGATGGAGCGTGTCGGCCTGGCTGCGTTTGGAACGCCGCCAGCTTGCTCCCTCACCAGTTCCTGAAAAGTGTAAGTGAAAAAACTGGTGGAAAACCACTGATACGAACCATATGATCAGTCTTGTTGCTTACCGAAAGGAAAAAACGGCTTAGCTTACGCCAAACGCAGCTGCGCTGACACGTCCCATATGCAGCGAATGAAAGTAATCGCTACTTTAATAAGGTAGGCAGGGGTGTTCTGATCAGTATTGTGAACCTTTTTCTGCGAGAAGAGTTCATTCACTCCATCCAGCTCCTTTCTCTATAGGACTGAGGCGGAATGCTGCGCTCCTTGACGAGCTTTTGCGTGTCTCGTTCTAATAATATAGGCATTTAGGTGTGCTGGACGCCTAAATAGCTGTTTTATTAGTTCGGCACCTGGTGTAGTCCTGTGAGGGCTCCCCTTTTTGCGCCCCGCTTATTTTTTCTTCTTACTGACCATATTGTGGCATGGTTTTACTAGATATTTAGTTTGTTAGACGATGATCCAACTCTTATCAGGTCTCCCAATTTGATGTGGAACTAACTGAGCTCTGTACATATCCAATGGTGTCCAAAAAGTTACGGGATCTGTCCAAACCACACGACAAAGGAGGTGGCCACTCACATGATTCACACATGTGTGCAGCCGCTTTGACAGCCGGGTATGTTGTTGTGTATTGTTTGACTGATTGTTTGCTTGCTTGCTGATTTGTCGTACTTATTTGTTTGACCGATTAAAGGACCGGCTATGCTGTTTTGGACGATTTGATGCGAAATCCACGTCCGCTAAGATGGTCATATTCGGCATTTAGTTATCCGTAGACTCATAGACTATGAAGCAGAAAGCTGGCAAATGGGTTGTAGAGAGAAACTACAATCAGTGGAAACGTTGCGATTACAAGGGAATCAGTTGTTTGCTCAGGTATGTTATAACCTCTACTCTTGCATTCATATGGATTAAAGATTCCAACCGAGGGAGTCCGTCAACTTACCATGGAATTTTAATGAAGACCTGGGTAGATCGATAGCGTCTATGAGGTTACCCACAAGTATAGATAGCAAAACCGCAACCTGCATTTCACAAGCAACGTATGAGCAGGATTTGTCATGGTGCAGTAGGGTGGAGGCTTGGTGGTGAGCTGTTAAGCATTAGCGAGGAATCGCATACCTCGAATCGAGTCGTGGTGGTTTAGTGGTAAGGTTCGACGTACGCGAATCCTCGTTTACAGCTCACCACCAAGCCTCCACCCTGCTGCACCATTACAAACTTTACCTGCTCATACATTGATTGTGAAATGCAGGTTGCAGCTTTGCTATCTATGCTTGTAAATAACCTCATAGACTCCATCGATCTCCCCAGGTCTTCATTCAAAGCTCTATGGTAAGTTAGCGGACTCCCCTGGTAGGTAGTATGATAGTAACTAGGGAAGTGCTAAGGTCCCCAGGTCCCAGGTCAAGCGCTTGACCCATTGAGCTGGAAGTAAACCCTCAGTACGTCCACTTCAGTTAATGTATCACCAAGGCAAAAACGGA